GAGATGACCTAGGCTATATATAGCACATGAGCAGCACAGCGAAGAAGAAGTGACTAGCAAGTTACTGCTCAGCCTTCCCATAGGAAAAAGTTCTGAATTTATACCAAAAAGAAGAAGTAATCTCTCCTAATAAAATACAGAATTCATGTAATTGTTGATAACAATAGTTTGCTAGATATTTGATAATTATGTATTTTAATTATATATTTTATATTTAAACAAATGTTTGTAACAACTAACTATTAGGTTTATTCTGCTCGGTATTATAAGTCATATAGGAGATATTGTACTCAACTTATTTTAAAAGTATTATTTCAAATCATTCTCTCTTAGACATTTTCTTCACATAGAAATTACTCGCAATTTTAAAATAAATGCTCCTTATCAGCTTGTAATTTGTTCTATTCGATTGAGTGTAAAAAAGGAATAAAAATAGGTAGATAACTTTAAAATTTTAATTTATTAAACGATTCTTGATTACATTTATTAAAAAATATTAAAATAACTACTTTTTAAGAAATTCTGATGTGATTGACAATAACGGAAATCCTCTTCAGAATCATTTTTGACGCTGCAGCGTCGAAAACTTATAAAAAAGCTATTTGTTTCATAAAGTCTGACAAAAAGTTTAAAAATATAGACTAGGTTCATTGAGTTTAAAGATTTGTAAGAAAAAAAAGAAAAAGTATATAATTATCAAACTTACAAGTATCGTAATGATACCAGATGTACAGAAAAATAAAAAGTGTTACAATTGCATAAAAAGATTGGAATTATATATTTGAATTTCTGTAAGTGTTGCTAATGGTAGTACTGTCCTCAGTGTACTTTATTTTGTGGCTGTGGAACCTGTTATGCTTTTTAGCTGCGAGGATTGAATAGCAGAAGAGTAATACCATTTATCTGAAAAGGAAAATTAATTTCATACAGTTAATTTAAATCATAAATAAAACAAATTCTTATATTTTAATAGTTTAAAACCTGCCACTATTATTGTAAATATGACTTTCTTACTAATAATTTTTTTTCTTTCTTTTAGGTTCCAATAATTATAAGTTTCAACAGGTAGCCGGAAACAGTATTTAAAATAATTTCGTTGGTTTGTAAAAAAAATGAAATTTTAGTTTTAAATAAAAGTACTTCGAATTTCAGCTGACTAATTATTTAAATTTGTAGTTTTATAGCTTTAAAAATTGGAGCACCTTAGACAACTATCTTCTAAAAGTACGAGTGTGAGTTCCCATAAATAATTTTTACTAACTGTAGAATTTGGATAAGTGTTATTTTAAGATGATTTAGTTCGATCTATTAAAATTATAGAAGAATTATGCATTTGAAACTTTCTTTTATAGCTTAACAAAAGAAGCAATTACTGCCGAAGGTTTAATATTAAGAACTTCAGGTTGATAAAGGATCTCTACTAGTGAAAAAAATGCAATGATATACTTTATTCTTCATATAATATATATAATATCTTTATACATTATATTTTTTATATAGTGATTCTAAAAATTAATAAACTAGGTGGTCCGTATAACACCTCACCTTCGTAAATACTTGAAAAACAGCTTTAGGTTGAGCTGCATAAGCCTGAAGTGTAAAATGTCACATCTTTGGTTGATAAATTAATTGTTCTAAAAATATAAAAATATATACTATAAGTTACGAAATATTAACTTAAGGTAGAACATGGAACGAGTGACGTTAATAAAAAAATAACCTTTCCAAGTGTTGCAAATACACTTCAGGTTGATTTATAACAACCAAAAGTGCAAAATAGCACACCTTAGGTTAAAAAATATATACCTCTACAAGCATAAAATTAGATAACTGAGGTTGAAAATAATTACCTGAAGTAGAACAAAATACACCTGAGGTTGATTTATAACAACCAGAAGTGTAAAACAACACACCACAGGTTGATAAATGTGTACCTCTCCAAGCATAAAATTATATACCTGAGGTTGAAAAATAATTACCTGAGGCAGAACAAAATACACCTGAAGTTGATTTATAATAACCTTAAGTGTAAAATGACACACCATAGGATGAAAAATATATACCTCTACATGCATAAAATTAGATACCTGAGGTTGAAAAATAATTACCTGAAGTCGAACAAAATACACCTGAGGTTGATTTATAATAACCTGAAGTGTAAAATGACCCACCTTAGGTTGTTGAATAAATACTTCCACAAGAGTAAAAAAATATACTTCAGGCTGATAAGTAATAACCTAAGGTTGAAAATGAAACTTTTTAAAGTAGTAAATATCTACCTCCCCACAGATGTAAAATTAAGCATCTCAGGTTGAAACATATATACCTCTGGAGGTATATTTAAGGTATACTTGAGGTATTCATTTGCACCCTTTTCTACCTTAACGACGTATTTAAATATCAACCTCCTTTATACCTTTAAAATATACCTCGTTTATACCTCATTTATACTTCGATTTTTTCATAAGGGATTATATAAATTTAACGCTCGATTTGATTTGGACCATTCAGCCAGAATTTTAAATATTTATTCACATTGCATTAGATATTGTCTTACAAATTAACATGGAAGGATTAATTTGAAGTTTACAGAAATATTTTATAATATTTCCATATATTGTTTACAGATATATAATTTTTGATTCATAGGTTTCAATGAACAAATAATGCTTTCTCAACAAGAAAGCTTTTTAAAAAATTGTATTTAAAAGAAATAAATCGCAATATGTCACAAGACTTAGTTTAATACAAAATTGACGCTCTGAAAGATTGTTAATTAATACATAATATGCAATGTAATTAAATAACTATATTATGTAATCAAATATATTATTTAATTCTATTGGTACAATTCTTCATATAGATTTAAAATATTAGACAGATATTTTGTAATCATTATTAAAGTTGCATGTGTATACTGAATGCAACTTTATATGCAATTTACTTTTTAAAGGAGAAAAACAGAAGGTAAACAAAATTGTTAGAAAAGAAAGTAATCTAATTTACGATTTAATAAATGTGAAACTATGATTAAATATCTTTATCTTAAAATGCTGTAATAAGTTATTATTATATGATTATTTCTTAATATAATGAACGAAAAATTCATTTTGAAGTGGATAATTATCTAAATAAATTGATTTAATATAATTGATTATCTGCAAGTGGGATCAATTTCTTTTCATTATAAATAATGTACGCAGCCAAAATTCAAAAAAAGATAGGAAGTTAGAATGAAACGGAACTAAAAAGTCATCCATCAGACCCCCCCCCAAAAAGGGAAAAAGATANCATCAGCATGTACAATATTTTTTTAGAATAAATAAATGATATTTTTTTAACGGAATTTAGTAAAATCCTTTAGCAAAAATGCGAAAATGCTTTGTTGAATTTTAGCATTTTTGAGGGGTCTTTTCGCATTTTGCGAAAAAAGCTACCGTAGCGGAAACCCTGCCAAGGCATTTTAACCCCAAAGCTTTTCAAAGAAAGCAAAGAGGTCCTCACCTATCCCTATCCCCTAAAAGAACTCCTTAGTTTGAATTTGCACTTGTATTGGTAGAAGGTGTGGAGCTCTTTTTCAAACATTTTTTTTCATTTTTCTTTTTTATTAACACATTTGAAATGTATAGATTTCGTTCATGAACTCAAAAATAAGGATTTTCTGAATGAATTTGGATGAAAAACGGATTTCTGAAAGATGACTCGATTTCTGAAATTTCACCTCCATTAATAAATTAAAATTTATAGTAAAAAAAAATTCATTCACAGAAAGTAAACTATGAAGTTTCAAATGCTGAAAGTATCTTTTCAAAATATCAAAGTGCAAACAAGTTATTAAAAGAAAACGCTGTCATAGAAAAAGCATTGGTATGGAGAGGGAAAGCATAGCACACAGCATGCGACTCGCATTTGCGATTATGCGTCAATTTGTTTCATGCATGTGCAAGCAGTTTGTCTTACATGTATTTTCTAAAAATTTGTGATCGCATCCGCGTCTGGAAAGCTCCTTAAAGGGCCTTTCACACTTCATGCAAAAAATTTGTGTGTGCGAATTATGCGTCAATACGAGTGAGAACTTGACTCACGAATTTTCTGCTGGAAAATATATTTTGCTATTAACGTTCCTGCTCGCTCTTCCGAATTCGCATTTAATTGTCAACAATATTTTCTAAAATTTCTGCTGCGCTCTCTTTAAGAACTATATTTAATGCAGTTTTGAGTTCCATATAGTTTTCTGTGTAAACATTTTTTAACTTATTTGCAAATCAAGATAGAAACTAGCATAGTTCCATCTTCTACGTCTATTTACATATGTCTATACTATCTATCTACTACACGCTAACTGTAAAAGCATGTGAAGCGTTGCCATAGGTAAAGGACAAAGGACAAGTTTTTAATTGGACAATTTATTAGTGACGTTATCCAGTCACGCTTTGATCGCACATGCGTGAAGGAATGATTCTTCAGCTAGTCCATAGCTCGCTTTATCCTTGTATCTTTTAAGAAACTAAAGAAATAAGTATCTTCCATGTAAAGAGTATTATTTACAATCTCTTATTTATATGGACAATATTGTATATATTAATGAGAACTTACATTTTGGGTCATGAAAAGTTTTTTTCAAATAATTATGAACTTAAATCTGGCTCTTACTGTGTTTTTCCCGTCATTCATAGCTGACAAGCTGTTCCAAAAGCTAATGGCTACCATGCTATGATGGAAGACGTTTCAGCTACGCAAAACCATAGCATTCAGCTTGGTCCTCCGTCTGGAGGTAATATTAGTACTAAACAAAATCAAGATGAACATAATCAAAGACCACATTATTCAATACCAGGAATTCTTCATTTTATTCAGCATGAGTGGGCGAGGTTTGAAATGGAAAGAGCTCAGTGGGAAGTTGAAAGGGCTGAACTTCAAGTAAGTTTTATCACAACATAGGAAACATAAACAAATATGCATTAAATGTTTACTATATAATAAAGACATGCACTGTATTCATGAATCTTCAAGTTTTGGGTATCTTGAAAGTCGATCTGTTTTTATTCCTCGATGTTCAGTTTTATTTTCTCAAACATGTCAATATAAAATGTGACCGCATATTGATTCTTCGACCTAGGTAAATACATAGAGATGGTTGTAAAACTTGAGTTTTTCTTTGGACTGTCGTTAAATTACTTAGTACCGATCTTTTCCATTATGTGCTACTATTTATCTTTAAATAAACCATTTAAAGTGATTGATGTAGTAGTGTTCGCTCAAATCTATCATCAAGATAACTATTATTCTGTCAGCTACAAATGGAGTTCCAAGTAATTGAATAGCTTAATTATTAATTTTGTTTTATTTTTTTCTATCAAAACTTTTTTGTTTTGGGCATCAATTCTTGTCTTGCACGTTATTCTAATTGTAATGTGGGCTTCATTGAAAGTTTTCTTTTTCAATTGCGGATATTCAGTGTTTGTTTACAATGCTAGATTGCTTACTTTCTTCTGTTTTACTGGAAAATATATCCGATCTCGAATAAGTTTATTTATACATGTTATTACATTCTATAGAACAGAGGTTTTAAATACTGAAACGAAAAAAAAATCCTGAAGATTATTTATGCTAATTTATTATTTTTGAGACTGATTTATACATATTATTTTTTGTTGATTATGTTTCATTGCTTTGGAATGTTTTATTGAAAACTTATTTATTTGTTATTAAGTTTGCTTATACAGATTTTTATGCTCTATAGAACATATTTTAGAATTGGTAAATTTATGTTTGCATGCTAGTCTGATTCAGAAATCAAAACTGTAAAGATGAATTTATGGAATTAATTGTTAAAAAAACTGCCAATTTTGGGGAAAATTGCTCATGCTTTTTTTTTTTTTTTAATATATAAACAACAAATTCAATAGAAGTGACAGTTTCTTGGGGGCAGAGGTTTTTTGTTAAATTTTTATTACTAAAGTATTTGAAGTCGCCATGGGCTAGAGGCGTTGGAGACTACGTGTGGTTGAGGCAGCCAAGGCCTGTAAGGGGCTGTCGTGCTGAGGAAGAATAAGGAAGTATTATTTTCTCTTTAGAAGTTAATTAAAACTTCTTGTTAAACAAAATGCTGTCTGACTAAAATCATTCAAAATTGAAATTAATTGCTCAGTTACTTATGCTTTCTTACATTGATCAAAATATGTTATTCTACTGTTGATTTCTTATGTGTGCACAGCATTTTCTTAATTATACTTGGCTTTGTCCTTGGCAACCTTTGTATAATTTTTTTTATAACATTGTAGTTAGTCATATTGTATTTTTATTTGGTCGTTCCCAGAATATTTATCTATGATAAACATGAAATAGTTGTGGGGAAATTTTTAATCTAATTAGAAAGAATTGATTTAAAATTTTTTGTTGTTAAAAAAATGTGATATTATAAAATTATTCCTTGTAAATAGGGATGTAATGAAGAGTGATTCGGCGGAATATTAAATATTCGGGAGCCAAAAAGCATTTTTTTTTTAAAACAAGAATCCTTAATAAATATTTTTTATATAGAAATAAGTTTATTAAAAAATTGTATATAGTATATATAGTTATTATTTAGGATATTTTTTTCTAGTGAATATTGACAAATAATCAAAACTTAGCTGTGTTATTGGTATGGGGAAAAAACTAGATATTAAGATATAACTAGTTAAGAAATTTTAAGATAATGAAACTGACCAATATCTATTTATAAAAAAAACTTAAGTTGTGAAGTTTAAAAAGAAAAGTAATGCTAAAAATAATATATTAATGCTAAAAATATATTTTCCAGCAAAAAAGTTATCCATGAAACAGTAAAAGAGATAATGTCTACCAAAAACTATTTTAAACTTGCGACACTATCATGAAAATGCTTATAAAAATCAAAGATTATATTCAGAAGCAAAGCAGAAAAAATAAAAGTTGATCTTAATTTTTGAAAGAAAATTATGAAAAATATATTAAAAGTAATTACTCTTTCATACAATTTTAGATAATTCTTTATTAAATTTATTAAAATTTACCCCTTAAAAAGACTTTGTTGAAAAATAATTTTCCAAATAGTTCTTTGCCAAATATTCGGAAAAAGATAAAATACGGATTAGTGGCCGAATATTCGGTGCATCCTTACTTTGTAAAAATACGTAAAAAGTGAAATTACTATCAAGGGGTCCAAAGTGTGAACTGCTCTCCTTTATTGGAATGATATATCCCAAGAATGCAGCTGCTCCCTATTATTTAGAGAAGGTAGGTTTTTGTGTCTGATTTTGCAACTTAAAATATCGTTTGCTCTAACTAATTAGCATATTTGAGATCACCCCCTTGAACCATTAAGATTGAGTCCTAGTACATAGAAATCCTATCATTAGATCAAAAGTTATTCAGAGTGTTTCGTTCATTTTTTTGCACACTGTTCTTATGGGCGTTATGGTGCCTATATAATAGCAAACAGGTTTTTATGTGTGATTTCTTCTAATAGAAGGGTCGATCTAAAGATCATAGATTGTGTCATAAAGATATTTAAAAAAAAAAAAATTGAAACTATTTTTAAAATTGTTCTATTAATTAATACGAGTTGTTAATTTGTGTTATGCACAGAACATTTCCTTGCAAAGTTTTGAAATAAGTAATGTTTCTGTATAACAATGAAGTACCAGATTAAAGAAAAACATATTTCTTCTCTCGCAAAAATGTTTATTTCTAATTTTAATTTCAATGACTAGTTCAATTGCTGTTAATTAAATAAATATTACAATAGTTATTGTATAATTTTTTATTTTTTATTCATTTTATATATTTCATTTAATTCCAACAGGCACGGATAGCATTTTTACAAGGTGAGCGTAAAGGACAAGAAAATTTGAAAAATGATCTGATACGAAGGATTAAAATGCTAGAATATGCATTGAAACAAGAAAGGTAAATTATGCAATTATTTTAAATAACTATATGATCTTGCAATAAGTTTCTCCATGTTTTTTTTATATTTAGATAATAGTGGTTTGAACTTTTAAATGTTACTTCCATTTTTTTTTTAAAACAGCAAAATGTTTTTAGTTAGCTGAGCATTAGATATACATTGCTTGTTTATTTTAATTATTTAATATATATTTTCCAATATTTATTAGTTTGTTTTCACCTCAGTATTAGTCTATTTTTCTCAAATATAATATTAGGTAGCAAGTATTTGTGTCTGCAATTTATATTTTACTCTTAGCAACAATATTGAAATTTTAAAAAATGGAAACCTTTTCTACATGTTATTTGGCAAACATGCATATAGAAAATATGATTTTCCTTGAATTTTTGATAGAATGTGTTTAAATTACCATTATACCTCAAATTTTTTTTTTTTTTAAATTTCTTATGATTTAATTCAAATAAGTAAATCATGTAATTGTTAGAGAAAATAGTATAGACCCCTAAAAATAAGCTAAGAAAATTAAATTTAAAAAGCTATGTTTATTATGAAATAGTTATTATTTTTTTTGACTCATCAACATTTGTCTTATAGCTCAAAAATGTTTCGATAATTATTAGGATAAATAACTGATTTGAAAAAAAAAAATTTTTTTTTTTAATGTCATGAAATTGTTTCTTGCTAAGAGAGTTGTATAAACAGATGCAAAAATTGTTTGATTCATTGCAATAATTTCCAGTTAATGTTTAAAGTAGAAGAAAAATTTACAGTATACTGGCCACAAATTTTACATTACGTTGCTGACTAAATTTTGATGACCTTATCTTAAAGATTGTTGTTAACCTTAGTATTTTGAGAATCAGAAAAGTACATTTATTCAGAGGAATGTTTTTTATTTTTAATTTCTCTAATTTATCGGTATATTTAAAAAGGCTCCTTTCAAATCATTACATCTTAGTGCTTGAAATTGACCAGATGTATTTAGGGTGTTCTTTTTTACTTCACCTCTGTACATATTCTTTTATTAGAGTGAAAAGATAGTTTTTGTGTTATTATAAGAGCAATTTGTTAAGCTAGCATTGAAATTGGAAATTTTAAGAGAGTCTGATTCGTAATGGAGTACATTTTAAAGAAAATTTAAATCTATGATAGCTCATGATTCTTGCAGTCAATTTTATTTTTCTCAACTCTGGATTATTTTAATCTCTATAGTGTAAGAGTTATTTGAAAGTTTAATATGAGCTTCAACAACTTTTTTTAGTAAGTTATTAAACGAATATTTACTCTTGTTTTCAGAGTGAAATTGCACAAATTAAAATATGGAACAGATCCAAATTTTACAGATATAAAAGCTCCCATATTTGATGACATTGGTAAGTCAGTTTTGTTATTTACTAAATAGTTTTTCTTTTATCACAACTGTCAATTTGTAATAAATAGATTGAATTTCATGCTGATCTTTTTATCTTATATTTAATGGTTTATTTTTTTATTAATTATTTTATTATAATTGTTACTGGTAACATACATTTCATTTTATTTTAGATGAACCTATTGATGGGGATTCTCTAATAGGGAACAATAGTAATGTTTCTTGGAGACAAGGGCGTCAACTACTTAGGCAGTATGAACTCATTATTTATTTTTTCATAAATTTTTAATAATTGTTTCTATTTGATATTTTTAATAACTGAAGTTTTGATGTATTCCTTCAATGGTTTATCACTGTACCAAATACATGATATCTGTTTTCCAAGCATTATTTTTTTTAAAAAATTGTTTTTCATAAGAAAAAATATGTGTGGTGGGGTAAAATGAGTTGAGGGTTAAAATGGTATGTTTCAATATTTTACCTTAAAATTAATTTATTAATATAGAACCCAAAGAAATCTTTGAAATTGATAATATATGTTCTAAAACTTCATTACATTTTGTTCACATATAAAAAGAAATTACCTTTCTATTACATAGAAACGGAAAAAATTTCATACACATTGAAACTGTTTAAAACATTAAGTCATGACACCAATATTCTAAGAATTTTTAGTGTGAATTCTATGTTGCATTCAACTAAAGACAACTCCCTTGTGCTATCAGCCTCAAGTAATATATGTATATGTATGTATAAGTATATATATGTATGTTTATATATGTTTATATACATACATATTGAAAAAATTACACAGTAGTAGTCAAATATCAGTTTGCACTATAGCGACCAGCAATAATGATTATAAAAAAAATACTATCTAAACTTAATTTTCCATGTTTTAACTCAGAAAATATAAAGGGATCATCAAAGGAATTATAAAATATACTAGAAGAATTTATCCTGCTGTGATTGAAAAGCATTATGTTTTAGTTGAGAGGTTTAAGAACTCTTTATAGAATTTCGCCACTGAAATCGATACTATCTAATAACTTCAAACAGAAAAGGAGAAAAAATGTAGAAGGTCAAAGAAAATAAAATCCTGAAACTAAAAAATAAAAGCTGATGCTTAAAAATTCTTCCAATTTCATAACATATTTTATAATGTCATTATTCAAACTATTTATATGTTTTAATTATAACGCCTTAATTTTAAATATTTATGAGTAAGTGTATTATTTCTATTATTATATTTCCCGAGATTATATTTTTTTGGTGATTAACATTTAAAGATTTTGTTTCCTGGTGATAATGTATGAAAAGAATTGTTATTATAATTATATATAAGACAATATTTTAAAATTCGGCATCCCAATCAATAAACTTTCAGGACATTGCATATTGTTATCAGAAAATATGTTGCTATAAAAATGTTCTTATATGCTTTCTTTTGTTTAACTGTAAAAGTTAGAAAACGGTTATGTACCATTGAGATAATTTTCTAACTCTAAAATGTTATTTTTTAGTAATATAAGAAATACCGAGGAAATTTATGAATACTATTTTTTCTGAACAAAAAAAATTATCTTTAACCACTTCAACTTAATGATATTGATTCAAAATCAAAACAAATTAAGTGATGTCTTTTAAGCAGTGTTATTGATGTAAATTGTTCTATCAAAGAATAGAAGTTGACTGAAAAAGTAGCAAAATTTTTTTTCTTCTTCTTAAAACTGTTTTTAAAAATTTACAGACAATTTTTAATTAATTTAATCTTTCTTACAAGTTCATATAAAATAATGTAAACTATGCACTTGCTAAACTCCAAAATATGCATAAGTTTTAAATATTTATGCATATATTTTAAATATTTCTTTAAAAAATAATCTTAGCTCTAACCCAAATAATGAAGATATTCATCATCTAAAATGGCTTGTTTCTGATTTGAAAAATACTAAATGCCAAAATTTCATGATATGAATAATTTGTATCTAAGCAAAGTTTTATTTATATTTTTGACTGGCTTTTAAATCTAATCAATGTTTTCCATCACAAAAAAAAAGAAAAAAAAAGCTCTAGATCTGAACCAATTTTTTCATATATTTATATATATATAAATGGTTATTTTATGAGAAATAATCCAGTGGAAGTCTTATTTCATTTGACAAAAAACACCTTTTTACTTCTCAAAGTGTCTTTTTGTTTCTGAAAAAAGTGCCCTTTTCAAAAAATGCATCCTACCCCTTTTTAAAAATGTGAGCACTGCTGCCAACCATAGGCCATAGACCATTATTATTTACAAAACTGTAATAACTTAGTAAATTAGTATATGTTTGTGTAATCTATATATCTATATATATAAAAGAAAGTCGTGTTAGTTACTTCACTTATAACTCAAGAACGGCTGAACCGATTTAGCTGAAAATTGGCAGGGAGGTAGTTTAGAGCCAGGAGNCTAGTTAATTATAAATAAGATTATTAAAGGGTGTGCATACATTGCTAATGCTTCTTTAATTCTAGATACCTGCAAGAAATAGGATATACAGATACTATCATTGATGTACGATCTGCTAGAGTAAGAACACTTCTTGGCCTTGCTCCTTCAAATTCAGAGACTGAAGAGACCCAAAATATAACTCTAAATGGTGAACAAATGAAACCTGTTTGTGCTTCACAGATAAGGATGTATGAATGTAGATGTAGTTTTCATATTTAATCTTAAGTATAATTTAATTTTTTGCTTATGTTAATATCTTTTATTTTAGACCCAATAACTGCAAAAGAAATCCAAATACTATATCAAGGAGTGTATTAAGAGATGCTGAGCAATCAGTACTTGATACATTTGATTTCCTTTCTGCAGAAAATGTAGACATGGATGACGATGAAGAAAATTTAAGGTAACATTTTAAATCAAACCTCTAATTAAACTTTTTTTTTTCTAAAATAACTTAAAACATTTTCTACTTTAGTGATGAAATGGATGATGCATCTACTGTTGATGAAGAAGACAGTGAAATCTTAGAAGTAAAATCTAAAATTAAACTAAAACAAAAGGTAATTAATTTTCATGATTCCCCTTTTTATTGCTAAAAATATTTCATTTTTGGGAGCTATACAAGTTGCGAAAAGCACTAAAACATTGTTTGTATAAAAGATTTCGACACTGAAGGGCATTCTGGATCAAAACAAATTAGGCCATCTGTAAAGCAATCAAATCAAAATTTAAATAATCTGCTCTGAAATATAGCAGGAATTTTCTGTTAAAAAGTATTTTTTTCCCTGGGAGCAACAGTGACTGAGAAAAACTGATTAGAAAACAAAGAGTAAATTATAGATATTTAAGTAACTATACTTTTTTGATTTCACCCACAATAAAAGTACATTTTATGGGTAAAAAAATACATTTGAATGACCAAGGGGTTTTCTTGCATCCAATAGAAAGATATTACTCAAAATATATTTTTTTAAATTTAGCTGAATATTTTTAAGTTTAATGAAACAGTGATTAGATCTTTAAATAAGTTAAAGAAGAAATACCTTATTTATTTTCAATGTGTCAAACTATTGGAATAAATTAACTAGCAAATTATTTTATTATTAACAGTTAAATTTTACAACTTAAACAAAAGACATCATATTTGCTAGAGTTTCTGTAAATGTAGTATTTTTCTAAGCAAATATTTTAAAGTTGTAAAATAATGTGCCTTCTCAAATTTTTTAAATTTATAAATTCTTTACCACTTATAATGCTATTGCTTTAAGAAAATGTTCTAATTTTTAAAGTTTTGTGTAACTTCTTAAAATTTGGTGCATAGCTGCATTTGCACTTAGCTAAGAGGGAATTTTTCGGCATGGAGTATTTATGTTAATTTGATTAAGTGCTTTTAAATTGCATAATACGATAACAATTAAAATCATTGTCATGGCTAATTGTGTGCTGGTTTAAATTGATTTGTTGAATGACTAAATATATTTAGATCATTTCATTTGTTGATCATTGAAAAAAGCTTATTCTGCTTATGTGGAGATATGTTTCATACATTCTTCTTCTTGGCACTACAGCCCACAACCTGCCATTCTAGTGAGTTTTTTCCATCAGAGTCTTATCAGATGCATGTTTCTAATTTATCATCTTTTTTGTTTTCATATTTTTCTCACTGTTATCGAGTCATCTAGATAGAGGTCTTCCCTGATTTTGCCTTTTGGCTTGTTTGGTGTGGTTAGGTAACAGCTTGGTGGGGGTTATTATCCCAAGATCTAAATAAGCATCCAAGATATTTTATTCAATTTGATTTGATGACTTTTACTAAGTCTGGTGGCTTAAATTGATTGTAAATTTCATGTTAGAAATGAACATGATCAGTTATAAAAGTGATTGTGGATTGAAACTAAAGATATGGGATTTTTTTTCCATAAGTGACTTTTTTCAGGGTTTGGAAAGTCAACTTATACACCGGGATATACAGTATTCTGTTGACTGATTTGACCAATCATCAAATGAGGCTCATATGCTAAATTTTTTTGGATACCTGAACTTTCTTGTCACTCAAAAAGTTTCAGTAACAAGATTTTACTTTAGTAATGTTTATTTATTTATTAATTCTTTTTTTATTTTATGTAATAGGGTTCTAATGATACTGGAACTAGAGGAGATGATATTTTGGGTGAAACTTCTACTGAAGAAGCTCTGGCCGAATTCAATTTCCTTGGTGCTGGTGAGAATCCAGACAGATCATCTGGTGATAATACAGAGTGGGGTAAGAATGCTTTTTCATTTGTATTTGGTTATAATGTTTTGAGTTACCAGAAAAAGTTAAAATCCGTAGAAAAAATGTCTTTGTATTATGTCCAACAGGGGTGATGGTATTCTGGGTGTACCCTAAATTCTAGGTTTTTCGTATCATTTTTCCAGGTCTAGAAACTAAAAGAATCGTCTGAAAATTAAATTTTGAAACTTTCATTAACATTGCATGTAATTCTTCCGTCAATTGACAGAGAAATTCGCCATTTTCATTAATTTAATTTGTTGAATTTTTGCCAATTTTAATGTTTGAAACTGCCCTGATTTTGTGATTCATAGTTAGACAATTTTAATATCAAACATTGATTTTCGTATTTACCCATTATAAAAGCTATGCATTGCGGATTGTATTCACGTGATTTAAAAATCTGGCATCCTGATACATATTCCCTCAATTTAAAAATCCAGTAATCTTAATGACGCAATTCATATTCCTGTGCTTTTAAAATCCTAAACTGTGATTCTTAAATTATTTACTTGAAAGTGTGTATTCCTCATTGGCAGAAAATTATATTTAACATGTATGGTGGTTAACTTCATATCAAGTTTTTTCTTCTCAATATAAAAATTCAAGTTTGTCAGAATAAATTTCAAATAGTCAAAAATATCTTTTGTTCTTGCGAAGTGATAACTGATTTAACTTCAATTGCTTTATTTAAAATGCTTTAATTGAAATATTTTTTTTTGTTTTCAAGTAAACAATTCAATGATAATACGGTTCGTATGCCTTAAAATTAGCTTAGAAAAGTCAGGGAAAGCTTATATTGGACAAAAAAGTCAAGGAAAATTTTAATTTTACTTCAAAACGTGGAATTTTCAGATAATTTTTTTCCCTGTCAAATTTTGCAAAAAAATGTAGGGTTCAGCAGTTTTGTTTATAGTTGCACAAAATAATGTTAAAAATAATAAAATTAATGGCTGGGTAGATGTTTACTTGGTAGATTATCGAGATTTTTCTTTTATACTTTGACATTTCTGCAGATGAAATCTGGAGAGAAGATTTTAAAAAACTTCAAATTTCTGTCCTGAGTTAAAAAATTTTTTTTTTTTAAAAAAAGTGGTAAGATGCAATGAATTTATTGACATACCACCTCTCAGATTTTAAAATTTATATGGGATTTTTGGTTGCATATCCTGTCTGCAAGAATTTAACTGAAGATTTCCCAAATTCTGTCTTTTTTTAACAAAAGAAAATTTTGTTTTTTTTCTGTGCTGATGATGCCACTCCATTACCGTCACGTCTATGGAAAGCCGATGGTGTTAGTAAACTGTTTTATTTGTTGAAGAGAACTCAGATCGTTCATTAATCCAGATTTTTATCTAGGTTTAAACTGTCATAGACAGAGCCTCATCATTTCGTAATTTTCCTCTCCCTTTTTGAATAAATAAAGATAAGATTGTTTGAAAATTTTTGTTTTGCGACATTATAACCAAGGGATCGTCCACTAATTGAACAAATATTTAAGGTTTCATATATATCTATACTAGATTATACTACATACACTAGAGTGTTATTTTCTAAAATTTCAGTAATCTTCATTTATTTTATGAAAAAAAAAAAACATTAGTAAGTCAATCAACATTTTTAATAAAATGTGAATTTAAGATCTTCACTAATTTAATATTTTAAGCATATACGGAAACAAATCTTATTAATTAAATTTATCTTTTAAAAAAATTCAAATAATCTATTTATCATTTTAGTTAAAAACTATTGATATTAATAATAATAGAATCGCAGAATTGTTAAAATGGTTTACTGATTAGAGAGACAATATACTAATTTGCTTTTGTCAAAAATGTTTAGTGACTCAAGTTGTTTTTTCCCAAAATTATTGAAGCTCTTTTTTTTTTAATTATTTGATTAATGAAATATTGAACCCAGTTACAAATTTTAATTAAAATGTTGAATTTTTAGATTAGAGGGAGATTATTTTAATTCAAGTTTTTATTTTATGTGCTTAAAATTTTTTTCCAAGTTTTGTAATTTTTACATATTTAAGTCTGTATGATGATTGTATTGAATTAACAATTTAATGAATGAAAATTTCAGCCAGGATCATTTAATAATTTATGTATAATAATGTGATTTTATGTATGTGTTCTTTTCTGCTTGAACTTCTAAACATCTTCATTATAAGTAAGTGCTAAGGTAATATCGTAAACAGAAATTTTTGATGTGAAAAAAGAATTTAAAATAAAAAATTATTTTTTTCTGTTCTTTTCCTGCATTTTTTTCCTCATTTATTTAAGTTGACCTGAAAAACCTGGAAAAGTTTAGGAAAAAAAGGTGTCCTTTTTTTAGTATAATCTCAGTAATATTTAAATTGAACTAAATTTTGTGAATATGATATAAAAGTTTTAAAATACATTTAAAATGAACATTTCTTCAATTTTTTTGTTATGTTTCTTGGTATATAATAAGTTGTATTTAATATTTCATTACAAATTTTAAAAAGAACTTTCAGAAATGATATATTAATGTGACAATCAAAATTTGTTATAATGAGTGGATGGAAAAACTTGAATAAACTGACCATCTGTCTTTTAGGATGCAGAAAATGCCTACATCTCATCTAAATAACAAATTATTTTTTATGTTATGAAGAAATTTGAAATTTTATAAAACAGAGACAATTATTTCCCTTAACTATGAAATTTTAGCCTCCCAATTGTGAGGGTATCCAGACCCATCTCTTAAGCCTAGAAAGTATAAGTTTTCAATAATCTAGAATATTCCGAGAATTGCTGTATAATAATAAAAATGCTAATAACTGCTTATTAAAATACTAAAAATACTTTTAAAAAAATTGTTTAATCATCTAGTATCATTTCTTTAAAACTTAGTCCATCATACTTAATCTATAGATTTCATCTTACTATTTTGATGCTTTTTATGTTTGCTTCTTCAAAAACGTTATTAGGCTTTTGGTAAATCTTAGTAGCTTGGCTGTCTTAGTTAACATGTAGCTTATTTCAGCGTATCAAAAACCATACACATTTTTAGCTTTTTTTTTTTTGCTAGCTCCTTTACCTTTAGTGACATGATTAATAAAACTAAGAAATTGGTAATAAGTTCTCATTTATATTACATTTCAAAAAATTCCCTAAGTGAACATGTTAGTTTTGCAAAATAAGTAGGTTCTAAAACCTTTTGAGCTTCTTTTAAATAGAAATGGAATCTTTCGCAATAATGTATTCTTTTGTCTTCAATAAATAAAAACAAGTAATCCAAAAGCTTTGCTTTGCATGATATTTTTCTTAATCCCTGTTGTTTGCATCGTCTCTAGGTTTTATTTCTGTTATGTTTTGAAGATTTTTTTTTCCATTTTATTTATTTATTTTTAAGTAAAAGGGTGAATTCACAGCTACAATAATTCTGTTCATTCAAATTTTCAAAGTCAAAAGCCTTTTTGCCATGCAAACTGCATTTCTCTGCCTGCACTTGTAAGTGAAACAATCAATGATGACAGACTTTAGAAAAACCAAATCTATTTATTAAAATTTACTAGTTGGAAAAAGAAGCATCACTAGCTTGCAATCTTACAAAATTAGAAAAACTTGAATAGTATGACAGGTAGAAAGAGCATAACAAATATTAACAGACTAACTCTGGTTTTGGGTTGTCAGTATTTATACATTTAAATGACAAAGGTACTCATTTTTGTGATACTCATTCGTGTGCACATGGTAATGCATTGGCAACAATACTTGGTGAAAACTTCTGTTTCTTCCACTTCATATTAAACGCTATCATGCTTCTTGTGACATTTAGGCAGATTTCATTTAGCTGAAATAAAGAAACTCCCAAGTATGTATATATATGTGTATAAAAGGAGTTTAGAAGTACATAAAATAAAATAAAAACTTAATAAATCCTTTCGCTTTTAATTTCTGACAATTTTTTGTGAGTTTCATTTTTATTTATTAAAAAAATAGTAAATATTTTTTTTTTTTGTTGAGGAAAATAAATGTCTTCTTTCTTATATACTACGATTTCCTGAACTTAAAAAGTTTTAAAATCATAAACTAATACATAAATGATTTACTGGTAGTCAACTAAGGTAATGTAAAAAGTGTGTATATTGAATACAAGTAAACAAAGTTTTATATTAAGCGAATTTACACCATATAGAACTAAATAAAGTTTGATTTTCAAAAATTTAATTTAGATATTTTTTTTAATGAGATTTATTTATGATTCCGATTCGGTGAATTATGAACAGTTAAATTCATTATAAATTTAAAAAAAGAAAGAGCTATAGTAAGTGTTTCAATTGATTTAAAAACAAAAAACTTACTCACTATTTTTGCCTTTGTGATTGTTGAATTCTAGATAATCAGATTTTTACTGTATCAGTTTTTAAGGTAGTAAAGCAGTTTCATTAAGGTTTCATTTTTTTTATTTTGGTGTGGTATATTGAAAAATATGGTAATATTGAATGGAGAGAAAACAATTAAGCTGAAAAAATAGCAGGCTTGATTTTGGAGTGTTTTATTTATTTATTTATTTATTTATTATTTTTTTATTGAGGTATGAACTAGAGGCAAAGCTAAATAGTTTGTACCTCATATTGCCCCCTCAATATAGCTGTGCTTTTTTTTGTTAATTATAATTTTTTGTTTTGTTTATTTTTCTCTGATTATTTTAATTTTTTGCATGCTATATTGCATTAAGTGTGTCTGCTTCCATTTATAATTTTGTCTCCTCCTTGCATGCATTATCAGGACCGAAACGGTCAACTTTGCAGACAATGCTTGTTCGCTTATCCAATGGAGAGGGAGATCATATGATCCCAGATGATATGTTAGGAATAAAGACAGAGGGTGATCCAAATGTTAGCAGCACTAAAGCTCTGATATCTGGTTTAGGATTTTTGAACATCCCCCAAGTTGATTCTGATGAAAATGGTATGTTCTAAGGTGGCGGTACTATGCTATGCATCTAAATGTTTTGTTTTATTTATTTAATATTTAAGGAAACAAAGTAATTTTGTCACCCTAAATGACAGGGATCATTGAGGTGACATCAATAAAATTTAACATAAAACCAGTGGCCATTATTGGTGTCCTCTCAAAAAAATGTTTTAAGTGAAATGCTGGTAAAATTTGACTAATCTCTCTTTTTTTAAAAAAAATTTCTTCTATTTTAGCAAAAGATTTCTTAAGTAAACATTTAAATGTCTCATGCCCATTATTAAAAAGTTATGATAAGAAAGTCGTAAAGGTAGCAATACTGCAGGTCTTTGATGAAAAAAGTTTTTAAATTTTAATGAGAGGGGAAGAAAAAAGTCATGGAAAGGAGAAATTTTCTGAAAATATTGTAAAGGTTTTAGAAAATCACATTTCTAGCAGATTTAAAAGAAGAAAATAATTTTTTTTTGTCATGCCTAAAACTAAAACAGGGTGAATTTATCGGTGGTGATAAAAGCTTATTGCAAAAGTGATGCTCTTCACATTTTCTGTTTCAGGTATGGCAATATTTTTCTTAATTCATTTGAAAAACATGGTTTTTGAAAAAAAAAATTCTTCATTTTAGTTTTGAGTCCGGTAGTGTTTTATCATGTAAAAAAGTAGTCTAACTTACGATTGGCGATAAGTTGGAAGCTATTGAAATTTGTTTAGCTATTCATCAAAGAGCTTCATTTAAAATTTAAGCTCACTAGGTTGTAAAAAAGTGGAAGAAATTTTGACTAGCGATAAATTCTGATGGTAGCAGTTGCAAAAGAATTAAAAATGATATTTTTATACAGCACTGATTTCCAGTTGAAATTTAACTTTCCATTCATTCTGAAAATGATTACAATTTCATTTGTAACATAGATAAATGATTAAAGTTTCAATTGTTTTCTCCTAACACGCACAAAACAAGGTAAAAGAATGCACACAACAAAGAACAAAGCAAGGTAAAAGAAAAGACAAGTTACTCATGGTTTTTCGAGAAGTTTACAGCATTTCAGTGAAAAGTTTGTTTTATTTTGGTTAGGTTATCTCCAATTTTTTTATGCCTACAAACCTCTATAATTTTTTCCACTTTTTTATATTCAGGAATTTGTTTAAAATTTTCTGGAAACTCTTAGTGATTGAAAAAGCAATCTTAATAACTTTTTTTTTATTGTGTTATAATTTTAACTAATTTGTAAATTTTTATTTTTATTCACCATTATTATTTGACTTTTTTTTTTTCAAAGATTGCTTTATTGCACACAACTGTAGCTTTTGAAGTTCAACTTTTTTATAAAACACTTTAAGTTAAGACATTATTGTTGCTTTTAAAATTTAATCTTGCTGTTATTCAAAAATCTTAAAGTTCTATTAATTATTAATAGAACTCAGCCGAAATGAAAAAAAAGTGGAGTAATTAACTTATAAAAATCTAAATAATCTCTCTCTCACACACTCTCTCTCATTCTCTAGCAATTTGATGTAAGCTTTGATCTCAATGTTTTTTAAAATGAAAGCTAGTTAATAGGAATTAAATGTTTCAAATTAGTCCTTTAATTCCCAGCAAATTACTTGCTGTGGTATACAAATCACGCTGATAATTTCAGCATTCTTTTTAAAGAAGGAAAAAACTATATTCTGCAATGTGAGTATTACTTTTTTTAATTAAAAAAAAATAAAGTCTTTTATAAATAATAAATCGAAAAATTAAATGTAGTGTGAAATGAATTATTACCAAAACAAATAAAATAAATATAATTTCTAATTCTAATTGCATAAGAATTATTTTCAAAAGAAATTAAATAAAAATTATTTCTGAAATAATTACATAAGTATAATCCTAGATTATTCGGTTGCTCGACTCTATTAGTATGGAAAATCAAATTAATAATTAATTTAAAGAAAAGCAAAATAAATATTATCAAAAATAATTGCATTGGAATAAATTATTGTGTTCAAAATCAGGGATTGGCAACTTTACATTGACAGGTGCAGGGATGTGATTCTTCCGCAGATTCGCGAATTTCCGCTTTTTTTTTTAAAGATTTTTTCATTTTCTCTGCTAATTTCCGCGGAATTGTACAAGTTGAATTATTTTATGAGGAATTTAATTTTCCGCGGAAGAATTTAATTCTCCTCATTCCTTCCTTTTGAAGTTTCTCTGAAAATCAGTTCCTTGGGATAAAACTGGTTGACCTATATACAGGGATGAGATTTTTCGCTTTTGTCTCTCCAATTTTCAGCCTTATTATCAAAAACTCAGATTCTCTAAAAGTTTCGTTTTTTTTTTTCTTCATAAATATCCCGCTATTTTTGTTGTTGAAAATTCAGTTGTTGAAATAAAATACTTATATTTATTTACGTTTTTCAACGATAAACAGAAAATTCAAACTACGTCCTAGCTGCTAACCTTTCCGCATTTCTACTTATTTGAGCTATTTTCTCTGCTTTTACGCACAGAAAGCAAGATTTTCCATATTTTTATCTGTCCGCCGGATAGCTCGTATTTTCGTAATTCAGACGTCGCTGCATCCTGTTTTCTGGCGTGAAAGCAAATGATAAAAGGAAAAAAAAAACTGTAGATTTGCGGTGAAAATATTTATTTGCTCATTCAATTACTCTTGTAAATTTTTATTTATTATGTCTAAGCAAAAACAATACAAGCAATCCTTTTAGACCTTTTAGAAGTCCAGACTCGGCAAATATCTCGATTCTTATTCACGTGATTTTAATATCAATCTTTGATTTTTGTATTTACCACATTTAAAAGTTGCGCATTGTGATTCTTATTTACTCTATTTAAATATGGTGCATTATGATTCTTGTTTACGAGATTCAAAAATCCAATATCGCGATTTGTATTTACATGCTTATAAAACCCTATGTTGCAATTCGTATTCACGAGAGCTTAAGATGCTATGTCGTGATTCGTTTTTGCGGTTTCTATCTATGATAAACATCTGTTTTAGTATTTATACGTGCTTTAAAAATTAGACGTTGTGATTTGTACTTGCATGATTTAAAAATTATGCATCGTGATTCGTATTTACGTGATCTAAAAAATACGCATCATGATTTGTATTTTCGCATTTTTTAAAATTCGATATAGAGTTTCAGATTCTCATAAATTAAAAGCCTCATATCGGGATTCATATTCTCTCAATTTAAAATCATGCATGTGATTCATATTCATATATTCATACAATTTTATAATTAATAATCGCGATTTATAATCACATGGTTTACAAGTTTAAAAATCTCACTTTTCTCGGCAAATTTTTGTGTGTGTGTGTATATTCATTCTTGGATTTCCTCTTTTTTACTTTCTGACTACTCTCATCCCTGTAGGTGGTTATTTTATCAGATGGAGCATGGGCTGTGGGTAGCAGTCGTTCCATACGAACTAGTTTAGGTACAAAAGATAAAAAGTATATTTTTGCTTGAATATAAAATTTTATTTATATCATGTAAATAAGGCGCAGCTATGGTCAAAAACTTTTCTGAAACAGATTGAGTGAAGAAATGTTTATTTTCATGCTTTTGACATTTAAGTATTGGTCTATTTCATTTATTTCAACCAAGAGTCTTATTTTTGCAACAAGATTTAATGTGATGACTCTGTGCTAGTCGTTAGGAAGTAAGCTTCTTATGTTTCACTTTCATGTCATTTGTTGAAGTTTTTAAAATATGATAAAATTGCTCATCCGTGAGTAATTTCTTCAACTTTTATCCTAGAAAGTGTCCTCCACAGGAGACACCTCACATTACAGGCATGGTTTAAAATCCCTTTTCAGAATCCTGTATTGATAAACCCTTATTAGAATTCTTCCTAAAGCGGATGCCTTCTAAACCAGATATATGGACAGCACTTTGCATCAAAACTACAACATACTGATTTAGTTCTCAATTAAATTTTGATGAAAATCGCAATACTTTTATAGAGGAATAAATCTTCCTATTAATCTTTTTGAAATTCTATTGTACATTTCAACCTTAGGTCCTTTATAAACAGTACCCTTTTTTTGGCTAATTTAGGTGTTCAAGGTGGTACTCCTTTGTCATTTCCTCAAGGATCACGCAGGTCATTGCTTGGTGCTCCAGGAAATGAAGATGATTCTTTAGAAGCCTGCTTAGGACTAGGAGAACTTGCTAGTCTCACAGTGAACAATGAAGCTGATACCAGTTATGATGTAAATAGTTTTTCTAATTTAGTTAAAAATCAATGACGAACAATGTTTTTGCTAAGGTACTCATTACCAAATTATTTTCAATGGAATAAAAAAAAACGAGAAATTTTTAGAATTGCTTTTTACAGTGTTTTTAAGTTGGTATTTAAAGCTTCTTTTTAAAAAGAAAATCACGGCTATTGCACATCATTACAATTACATTGATAATTGGAGAAGATTGTTTTTTAAATTTTATCAGCAGCGAAAACCACATCAAGGCTTTAATATATGTTCTAATAACTTATATATAATGGAAGTCAAAATTATTATAAAACAAATTTATTAAATATATAATGAAATATAAAAGCACAAAGTTGTCATTTTAAACATAAAAATATATTCTGTCTGGCTAGCCAAGAGAGTTGGTTGCTATAGATTGTATATAGAGTTTAATGTTAGAGGAGCAAAAATTTAATCAGGTACTTGATTTTTTAGATTTTTTTTCAAAAAAAGGAGAAAAAAAATCTGATTAATTTATTTCTTATTCAAAACAGATTTTTTAAAAAAAAATGTACTAAAAGAAATTTAGTTAGTTCGATTTTATAAATATTATTGAAATAGTCGTGAAAATAAATCATCATACATTTTAAACTATATTACTGCTTTTAACATAGTATTCTACATAATACTTGAAAATGCACCTTTCAAATTTTATGTAACTGGAAAAGAAATGTATCATTAACTAACTAATGAAAAACTGGCGAAAATCATAACAATAATATATTTTTTTTCTCTTTTTATGAAGAAAACTTTTACTTTAATTGGCAATCTGAATTTATTTTTAAACAGCCTTTTTATGCTATATTAATGTAATTTTCTTTTAATACTGTATCTACTTTCAGATTTATATATATATATATATATATATATACAATATTAAAATAAAATATGGTTCTGAAGGAATAAATTCCATTTATATCATGTTTTTATGGAAAAAATCTCTTTTTAATTACTACTTTTTACAAATATATAAATATTTATTTGTGAAAAAACTGCATTAAACTTTCACCTAGTTCAAATAAGTTTGCTTAAATTTACAACTCAACTTCTAAAGTTAAAAATATATGTTGCTATAATATGGTGTTTTTTAAAAAGCAAATTTTAAATTTTGCTGCTGTAATTTGTTGTGATTCTGCTAGGAATCTCTGAATTTGATGCTTGAAAAATTTGCTCCAAATTGAAGTGTCCCACTTCCTATTCCTGGTATTATATACTCCATTGTATAACATCAGGGTTGAATAGACTAAATGTAGACACATTTGACATTATTAAACCAGTCAGTATGCATTTACAGCTACGAAGAAAACGATAGTTGACTTTTTCAACGAGGACAACAATATATGAGTAACATTTAAGAACAATATAATTTAGTAATAAAATTTCTAAATAATTGAAGTTAAGTTATCTGCGGTGAGGAAAGTTTCATTATCTTTAGAATCTATTCCCTGTTTTGTTGAATATCTGGTTATCGTACCTCCCACACGGTTTTTATTTATTTTTTGTGTGCATATTTTTAGGTATTTTCTTTTTTGCTTTCTGACCACTCTTATACCTTCAGTGACAGTTTATAGAAACCCCACGATTCAAATCACTGGGCTTCCTACAATTAATCAAGTAGTTGCAATGTATTGCTATACAATATATGTTTCTGAACATACAATAATTAATTTTGATAAAACTTTTTTTTGTATATTCTAATTAGGCTATTTTAGATATGTAATATTCTTTTATATCCAAATATAGATATCATCTGCTAAAGAAGCCTTTAGGAAGACTTGGAATGCAAAGTATACTTTACGAAGGTATGAATGTTATTTTACAATCTAGCTAAATTTCTGTTTCAAATTTGAAATCCTGAAGATAATTTTTAAATATTGTAATAAAAGTTTAAGGATTAAACTGATTAGTCTAAAGTGTTCATCAATCAATGATTAGTTTGTTACTTATGCATTATCCTAAGCTTCTTTAAAAATAAAATTAATGCAAATCTTACAAATATATTAAAACAATGTGATAACAAGTGAATACTATGTTATACTATAAGCTACATAATTGTTAGACCGTAATCACTCTTCCACTGATACTGTCAAACTTAAACCTATTAATGCTCAACTTTATCTATTCCAGTTAAGGAAAAATGCGATGACATATGTCTTACGATTGATTAGATATTTTTTTTTTAGAAGTTAATTAAATCGAGTTTAAGTCAGGAAAATTCTTCTGCTGATTAATTCACCATTATTTTTGAAACTTTTTCTGGAATTCTTTTGTAACTGCAAAAATGATGTTCATTCTACAATGTTATTTTGTTTCATTAATTATTTAAATTTATCATTAATTGATTGAATGAAACAAATCATCAGTGAGTATTTAAATCTGGACAGCTCAAAAACGGACATAACTCCAAACGCGTGTTTACGAAAATGTACAGATCAGACTGTGTTTTTACAAAAATGGACATTGCTTTTAAAGGAAATAGGCATAGCATTTAAATCCATTTTCTTTTTAGTTTATTATGAGTATCTTTTGTTTAAAAAATAAGCTAATGAATTCAAATAAATTCATAATAGGATATCATCCATTTGCATGAATCACTTTGTACATTTATAAAATTAGTCTTATTTTAAAAGACTTTAACTGTCAATAATTATTTTTACAGTGTTGCCATGGATGCTATAAATTTATAATAGTGGTAGTGCATTGACATTGTAAGAATTTAGAGTTTTCAAACTCACATTGTCGTTTGGAGTTTTGCTTACGAAGACATCTCCTGCAAAATTACATCTGTAATATACCTAGCCACCCTAACCCTAAAGTCTGAAACTTTGCGCTGTAGTGATTATGCTTAGCATTTAAATAATTAAGGAAAAGTGTGTTAAATCAGTTTTTTATAAGATTTGCTAATTTCTGTTAATGTATCTAGCACTTGAGAAAATGTTTTTGAAAACTGATGTAAAGGTTCAATCAAATAACGGTTGTAGGTGATTAAATGGTCTAGAAATAACTGTAACTTTAGCAATAGCAGTTCAAATACATCTAAAAACCCAAGAAACTAAAAATATTTTCCAAGTAATTCTATTGCTATTTTAAAATTGCTGCTATGAGCTAATAGAAAAAAAGTACTATGTGCTTATTTTTGTTACTATCTTGGAAATTTTGTTTATTAATTACATTAAATGAAGCTTCTTTACTTCCATTATAATATTAAATTTTCATTTTATTTCTTCAGGAAATAAAAAAAAGTATTATGTAGACTTGTTTTTGTCTGTCACAACAGTTTTATTAAATATTGTTTTTTTTATAAAAGATGTCTTGTTTTTCTGCTTTTTAGTCATTTTGATGGAGTTAGAGCATTAGCTTTTCATCCTCTAGAACCTGTTCTAATTACTGCCTCTGAAGATCATACTTTAAAACTTTGGAACTTACAAAAAACAGTACCTGCTAAAAAGTAATATTTTCTTTTACAAATATTATCATTTCGTATTTGTGTACTTATTTTTATGTTTTATGCTTGTGTGCTTATTATTATTTCTTTTTCAGAACTGCTTCTTTAGATGTGGAGCCAGTTTATACTTTTAGGGCTCATATGTAAGCATTTTTCCTCATTAACACTACATTTAACCCTTTGGTTATGGCATGGCACTTAGCATATTAACACTTATTATTTTATTCACCTGTAACAATAAATGAAAGCAAAAGATTCTGTCTATTGTTTTATTTTATATGTTGAAGCTTTGTATATTATAAAATGATTTAGTATAATTAATTTTATAATATTTTCTTTTTTTATAAATAAATATTTAATGCCTAAATTAAATTTATTTATAAATGAGTTTTTTTTTCTTCAAAATTTTTCAAACATTTTCTCTTAACACTTTGCTGTCTAAATTTGCTTTCTAGTGAACCAGTTTTCTGAACGCTATTCAATAAACATTGCTTTATGTAAAATGTTTTGTTCAGACTTTCACTCACTCCCAAGTTTCTCTATCAGCATTTTGGTGAATACAGTTTTCCTAAAAAATAGTAATTTATATATTTCAGGGGACCTGTTTTATGTTTGGCCTTAAGTACGTCTGGTGACCAATGTTTTAGTGGTGGTATGGATGGCACTATAAGATGTTGGAATGTTCCTAGTTCACTTAGTGACCCTTATGATTCCTTCGGTGAGTTGGTAATTCATTGTGTACATAATAGTTCTTTTATTATTAAGGCAAATTTAAAAATGGCCTCTGTCATTTTTTTTTTGCTTTTTAAATTGATGTCAAATATGATATTCAAAACTGGATATCATTATATACCCATTGCAATATTACCTATTAAATCAAAATTTCAGAGCTTTTGATTAAAAAAAAAATTTCTTCTTGATAACTTAGTAAATGTGGTTGTATTAATTTGTATAATTTATTTCTGACAAATATCTGCTACAATCTTATTCCCTACAATGCTTATTTTCATATCCCTATCCTTGAATTCAACAGGATTCTTCGGCAGTTTTCTTTTTTATTTATTTTATTTTATTTTTTGAATTTTTTTTTTGTATCTCAGTTAACATAAAAATTTCCAAAATTAAAATTTCCTCTTATACAAATATCAATGTAATTTCTCAAAAGTATTACACATAGTCCCATTCAGTAGTATATTTGGATTTGAAAAAATCACATTTTCTTTTGTATAAATTCAGATTACTTGGGTTTTTCATCAAAACCCAGATTTTATTAGGTTTTGATGAAAAATGTAGGCTTTATCAGTGTTTTTTCAAAAATATTTTAAATTTTTATTCCTGAGTCCTTAATGAAAGTGCAGGAATTAACATGAAAGTTAAATATTTGGTATCTATGGCTTGTTTTGTCGATATATAACCATTTTTTGGGAGGTTTTTGATTGCTATTCTTATTTTTTATTTCTTAACAAACTGAATATTACATAAAAAGATTAAATTTTCTCAATTAAAAGATCCATAAATTTTTTATTGTATTTACTCAGATTTAGTTCCAGACTATATTGGAATAAAATTTAAACTTAATCATTTTGTTTGATTACCATTGCAACTTACTATTCAATTTTGTTTTTTAAATTTCTATTTAACTTTTGGTTACTATAAAATTAGTTAAATGTTTTTCGACAGATTGTTTAAAAATATTGTGTGAATTTAATTCCTAATATTAGTTTTGTATTTATTTTTTAACTGCATGTTTTTATGGAAACAGTTATATGAAATGCTTATCATATAAAAAAATATATAAAAGTCTTGCATAATAAGATAAAGGCTTCAGGATTACTTTATAATAGAAGAATATCACTTTTAGTTTTTAGCCTTTAATTTGGAACAAAAATCATAATACTAGTAGAAAGTAATAGAAAAAAGGATAAAAAATATTATATGTAAATACCTTTTAATAATGAATAAATAAAAAAAATATAGGTATTCTTAATGAGATATATTAAGTTTCTAGCTAGTGAAAATATGTTGACACCATAGAAAAATCTTTTCAAGCCATTTTATTTAAATGTTACATTGAGAAACAAAACATTATGAGAGACAAAACATGAATATTTTTTGCACCTATAAATTGCCAGTACATGTAACATCTTGGTTCAAAAATTATAAATTTTCTCAAGCGTAACTCTATTTAGCATCCTCAAATTTTTTTAATAAAAATATTCATCACAACAAATTTTAATAGTTAACTAAGCCTAACAGGAGAAAAAAACAATGAATTATGCTTGGATATTAGTACGGCTTATATTTATGTGGGATATAATTTAATTTTAAATATCATGCATAATTCTAATTCAACTTTGTAACATTAATTCTAAAATTTTGAATTAAAATTGTGTAAAATATTACGCAAATGCTTATTGAAACGTTCAGCGATGGGTTACAAATCTTCTACCATTAATCTATCCCATTCTCACCAAAGCAGTTGTTTTAGAGAGTCCTAACTTCAGTGGCGGATTCAGCGGGGGGTCTTGACCCNCCCCCCCCCCCCAAATTGAGAAATAAAAATAGTACTTTTTTAATAGTTTACAAAAGAAATAAAATATTTTAGAAACTATTTAAGGAGGCATATACACCTAGGTAGGTCGGAAAAAGCGATTTTTCCCCCATCTAATTATGTTCTTCACTGTTTCAAGAATCATAATCCAAAAAATTAAAACGAAATTCTAAACGATTAAATGAACTCGCATTATTAAACATTAATCGAGAAATTGATTTGGATGCTGAAAAAATCATTGAGAGATTTGCCAAAGTTTCTAAAAAATGCATTACATTTATTATTTAAAGATGTTGAATGCTTGAATTATTTACGTATTGTTCTATTGTTCATTATGAAAAAAATAAATGAGAAGGCTAGCATTAAAAACCCCACTTTTTTTCCACAAAAAATATTTAAAAAAAAATTTTTTTTTGTAAGAAAAATTTATTGTGTGGGGGGATCTGAGTCTATGCCCCCCCCCCAGGAAAAATTTCTGAATCTGCCCCTGCCTAACTTTTGTGTAGTTTAGCACAGACCCTAGACCCCAAAACGCTCAATCGCTGTAATCCATGGCATAGTGCTCACAGAAGTACAACAGTTTCTACAGTGTCCCACTGGTATACTTTTTGTTTCATTTTAACACCCTCATCTACATAAACCAGAGATATTTTGCTGCTTGCACAAATTCCAGGCCTGACCATGACCTATTCTTTGTCAATGTTCCAAAAATTTCTGAGGTGCTAGGAGCATCTGCAGACTATATCCTATCGTTCTGGGAGTTATAAGCTTGTATGATCATAAAAAGCTTATCAGTGAAAAGAAATCTTTCAGGACTAACTTGTGGCCCATTGCTGAAAATTTCAATAAATGTTTGCATCACTGTAAAAAGCGGTCAGTTTGAAACAAATTAAATTTATTTATTAGTAAAAGTCTTATGTTATAATAATTTGTTGTATTTTGTTAATTAATTTATTTTTTAATAAAGTTATGTTAAAAATTGTTTTTCCTGGTTTTTTTTCCCACACCTTGCATGTTTGGAACTTATGTGTAGTTTACTGTTTTGCAATGTTAGTGCTTTAAAATAGTTTTTAAATATGAATAATTTGAAATATTAAAATATGCTCACAAGATAAAAACACATAAATTTATTTAAAAAAATTTAAATTATCTAGAGCACTAGAATTAAAAACTAACAAATTTATTAATTTTTGTTTGTTTTAGAGGTTGCAAAGTTAATGTAGTTTAGGAATTTCATTATATGTAGATCATCTACTGTATACACTAAAAGTTATTCTGGGGTTCTGTGTTTCATTTTTTGCGTTATACAATAGAATCCTTCTTCTATGTCTTTAGTTTGATTAAATATAACAGATCCAAAAAAGTAAGAAAGTATGAAGCACTTTTTTACTAGAAATAAATTTCATTTATAGTAAATTTATGTTTTGAAAATGTTTTTTCAGCTCCTTTTATTGGTTTAAATACTCTTGTGAGCTTTAGCAGTATTAAATTTTTCTTTATTTTAATTTATTCGCAATTTAACAATTATGAAATATAAAGTTTTTTTTCCTCTGAACTGCGTTATTTTATATCTAATACATCATTAAGAGTTTTTTTTTCTATCTAATAATATAGATTCAAGTGTTCTGACTGCTACCTTAAAAGGTCATACAGATGCAGTTTGGGGTCTCTCTATACATAGCTCAAAAATGCAACTATTATCTTGCTCAGCTGATGGTACAGTGCGTTTATGGTCTCCTCAGTCGAAGGTCCCATTGCTGCACACATATGGATCAGATATTGGTAAAATCAGTTCTTTTAATTATATTTTGTGGTCAACTAAAGTATCATAAACTTTCTGCCTGTTAAATTGAATGTTATAAGATAGGTTGAGCTGCTTAATGTGTCAGTAGCATAGCTGCCAACTGTTCAGAAGTTTTCGGATTTGTTCCTAATTTTTAAATCAAATCTAAAAATCTGATATTTTTATAAAAAATCCGAATTTTCCTAAAATTGCAGTACTTTTGCTTTGAAATCAAACCCTAGTTCTGATCGCCACAAGCTTCCTGTGATTATTGTGCAGTAGTAATTTTTAGTAGCATTTTATTGGAAAATACTATTCCAATAGCTGTTGCTGATCATTTCACTAAATTGAATCTTAAACAACTATTATTATTTTTTAAAAATTGTATTGCAGTATTTAAACACATGCATCAGAAATATTTGCTTATGATGTAGATTATTATTTACCTGTCTTTTATAATTTGGAGAATAATAATTATGTATTAAAAAGTAATGACTGTTTTTAAACTATTATACCGGTATTCCTAATTTTAAGATATTAATATTATAAATTTCCCTCAAAGGATAGTGTTTATAGTTTCGTTTTACTAATTTACTTAAGATATTTTAATATTTGTCAATTAATGTTAAAATTTAATAGTTAAATTTTTGTCTTACTCTCGCAATTGGTGCGTAATTTTGTCGCATAGTGTTCCTAATTTTTGATTCCTAAGGTTGGCAGCTATGCAGTAGTGGGAAATTGCCTTGCTAGTTCTGCAGATTATTATTTTTATTTGTTTATTTTTTATGCAGAATAACTAGTGTTGAAAACTATTGAAATTTGTTGACATAAACCAATATACATTTTTCCAATAAATAATTTCAAATACATTTCTTGAGCACAGTTGACTTATTTCAAATTTATGGAGAAAAATACTTCATGGGTATCACTTTTCCTTCTGTGAGACAGATTTCTGTCACAGAATTGTTTTTTCTTTTTGGAATATGTTTAAATATGTAAAGCAATTGTCGTTTAATCCTTTAAAGACTAATATTTTTAAAGTGACTGTTTTTTTTTTGGCAGCAAATTTTTTTACCATTGATATTATTACAAAGTAGTCTTATTTAAAATCTGGACTCCCTGCTGGCAGTCAGGCCATTGAACATTGATGTCCCATTTGTCATTTTGAGTGACTAAAGACCCATGAAAAAAACTGTTGTACTTACGCATCCCAAGTCGTAAGGATAAGGTTTTTATTGTTTGCATTGGATAAATTTTTAGAATTATGCAAATTACAATCCCAAACAATGTATAAAGATATGAATAATACTTATATTATGCCTCTTTTCTTTGTTCTATTCCTGCTTTTTTTTTCCTTACAAAATGATGCGTAAATCTTCACAAACATGTGATTTCTTCAAAACTATTTTGCCATGACAGTTTTACAAGTGCTAGTATACTTGGAATGTCTGATGGAGCATATATGTCCTGTAAGGATTAATAGGGTTTTATAAAACTATCTAGTTTTTGCTATAAGTCTTTATTAAAAAAAAAAACAACAAAAAAAAAAACTAGAAAATTAAGATTGACATCCAAATTCTATTTTCAGGTTGCATTGTGTCATTTTTAAGGTATGTTTAAAAATCAAATATTTAGAATTAAAAGTACTCATTCAACTTAGGGTTTATCCATTAATCTTTTTCTTTCAATGACTGTTTATGAGGGTCTACTGTTTATTTGTTTAAATTATTAATAATAAAACTTTAATATCTCGAAAATGGAAAAATTTTTAAATTATATTTAGGAACCATTCATTTTTTATCTACAAAAATATGTCTATTAAAGTTGATGCTGAAATTTTAATTTTTATGTCTGATTAAAATTTCTGAACCCACACAAATAGCACTACCTTGGGTACTAGACCCAAATATAGAGGATGAACAAAAATAACGTTTTTTAAATACTTTTGACAGAGAGGTCTGCACAAGAAACTTGTGCCCTCATGCTCCAGAGAGGCATAATGGGATGTTAGGCAGTATGACCTTAAAAATCAACAAGAAGCTAATTCAATTTTATTTTTGTTTTGTTATATTCTATTTAACTTTAAATTTATCAAAAATGAATATTGGAAAAAAGAAATGTTTAAAGAAAGTGAATCAAACAATCCTATGCAAAAGAGAACTTAGCGTGCATTTCTGCCTAACTAGTCTTAATGGACACTAATTATTTCAGAAGCTAAATTACAGGTTCAGAGTTGTTCAGGTAAATTGCCCTGCATGTGAACTGAACATATTTCCAACATTTTTGCATCAAATGTACAAACTTATCCAAACCATAAATGCTGAGTAATAAATGTAAATGGTTTTCTTTCATAGCTGATGGAAGTCCTACATCAATTGATTTTCTACGTTGTGATTTGACACAAATGGTTGCAGCTTATACTTCTTCAAACTCAGTTATATTTGATTTGGAAACTGGTAAATCAATAATTCGTTTAGACAGCAATCAAACACCAGGTATGCTATATATTTTTTGGATTGATTAAATAAAATATTTTTTTACTCCATATCAGTATAAATTTGTTTATAATTCTATGCATTAATATTTCCTGTGTGATTGCTACATTGTTTTTTTTTCCTCAAATATTTTAAATATTATTTAATATATTTTTTAAAAAAAATATTATTTAATATTTAGTTATGAAAGAGACCAACAAATGATCAAACTGAAGATTATGATAGAGGAGCAAAGATAAAAATACTTTTTTATTTCGTAACTAGAAGATATTTATAAAATATAATATTGTTAATCTTATTTGTTTTAAGTTGATTAATTGTTAAGGTTAAATTATAAAAAATAGATAAATATAATTTCATAAATATACATTTTGAAAAAGATATTTGGGCATGTAAAAATTTCCTCCAAGTTTGTATTTTGTAGACTAAGACTCTTAGCAGGGCACACAAATTTTGAGATTTCTTCAGCCCTGCTCTATGAAGATTTTTAGTTCAATTTTTAATTTTTTCTTAATTAATTTCTTATTTTTTTAAAATTTAAATTTGCATGTTATTGTGTATTTATATTCGTAAAGCCTCAGAAAAGGCTATCTCTTCTTAAGCAAAGTAGATATTTTGTTGAATAAATTTTACAATTTATTGGGATTGAAATCTTCAAGTAACAATTTGAGCACATTAAATGGCAGGCACTGTAATAGAAATGCTGACAATTGTGCTAATTTAAATTGATATATTTTTGTACATTTTTATTATTAAACTATTTTTATTTTTTAGATTCCAGTCCTTTAGGAAAACAAATTAATTGTATAGTATGTCATCCTACTCTACCCCTAACTGTTACTGCTCATGAAGATAGGCATATTAGATTTTTTGATAATAATACAGGTAATTAATATATTTATATTTTTGTTTATAAATTTTTTTACCATATCAAAGAGTAACTTAATTTTAAATATTATTTTATGTTGTCTTGCATTTCACGAGGATAACAATTGTTGGTATTACTTTTAAAATGGAAAGTCATCAAGACAAGGTCCTTTTTACTTACTTGATTCCTGTTAAAAAAAATTTTTTTAAACTTTTTGTTCTTTATTGTGAGTGTTCCTTTAAGGTTATTTACAAACTTAATGTGCTGGTCTCTGAGACTATGTAAGATAAATTTTACGGATGAAGGTATATTGAAAAATGAAACTTGCTACCACTAGAACATGATGTTTGAAGACATATTAAAGAGCGGGATAATTTCAAGTAAGAACGTTGCTTGAAAAGGATGAATTCATTCAGTAACAAAGAAGAACAATTTTGCATCACTTTCCAAAATTCCTCAATAGACATCTCTATCTTTAGTTTTGTCTAAGTCTTGTTAACTCTACTCTCAACTTATTATTATTAAGTGTTGGTTTTATAGCATCATTGGATTTGATTTTCAGGCACAACTTCCTGTGTAAAACTTGTTCATCAAACCAGCAATTAAGATTGTATATGTCCATTTAGAGTTTTGACTTTTTAGCACCTTTGTCCCTTGTACACCCAGATCTTCAATATGTCCCTGAGCATCATGGATGAGCTGCAGCAGGTCTCAGTCTTCAGGCACAACTTTTGTAAAACTTCTTACATAGTCACACTGACACACATTTAAAGTTTATAAGCGATTTTTCTGGATTCCCTGTATTTTACCTTTTATTCACGATGAGCATAATGTTGCAGAGACTTAGAAACGTTATTATAATTTTCTTAAAAGTTATTTCACCTTAGATGTTGTTGTTCCCAGATGTGCCGACATCCCGATTTTGCCTTGAGTATCCAGGCTTTTTATTTTGGTCTTCAGTGTTTTATCAAAAATCTCCAGGTTTTTTTTAAAAATATTTATTTTTGCATAAAAGGCAATTTGAGTAATTTTGCCCCACATTTGCATCATCTGCAAATTCCTCAAAATCTCGAACCACGTGATAAAACATTTAAAACTTATTAATTTTTAGGAGTGGGGGTAAGTATGCATTAAGAATAATCCCTCTCATCTGTAAGAATTACTCTCAACTGTGTCACTCTTCTCTGATAATTATTCTAAAAAGAGGGTACACTTATCGATCATTCATGAACATCTTGAGGTGAAGTGATTCTGTTATTAGTTTTTGTTAAAAGGTAAACAAGCGTGTCACATTTGGATCATTAGATAATGTCGAAAAGAAAGTTAAGAAGTAAGAAAAGTGGAGTGAGACCAGGTACTTCGACAATGTAGAAATTAGTTTTTTTTGTGTGGATGAACTCTGAATTGTATTTTATTAGTCAAGAAGAAGGACGTGTTGTTGATTAGTTCACGGCGTCTATTACTCTAAATTTGTTTTACTATCTTAACTCTAATTTAGCCTTGTTTATTGGTCAGTACTGTTATCAAAATAGTTTTTAGTTTAGCTTAGAATCAATACGAATTTAGTCCTATAGCAGCCCTGTTCTGTTTGATTTCGATAACAACTCGGCCTTGTCCCCCTTTGGTGTATGTCTATGCTAAGCCCACAAAAACTGCAGTGCAGAGGAGGAAGCAGATAACTACATCCAAGGCTGAGCAATGGTTTTTATGGACTCCAAAGAAAAATTTATTGTCCAAAAAAAAAAACCCTCATTTTCATTTTGAAGACCCTTTTTGCAAAATTGTAGTTTTTATATAGTTGTCAAAAAATTCTTTGCAATTTTCAACTAATTAATTAACACTATATTTTTGTTAAGAATTTCGGCCAAGCCCTGAGCAATCCAGGCCCCCGGACAATTGTCCCTCTCTTGACTTAAGTATAGCCTTGACTATATTATGTGTAAATTGCATGCATAATTTTCCTGAATTCTCATACAAAGTTGAAATGTCTGCTACTTTTTCAATGAAATTTTAGTATTTCTAAATTTCCCATGAATTTAGTATTTGGAAAGTTTGCAATTGAGTGAATTTGGAAGTAGAAGCTATTCAGAGCATGCTCACTGGCAGGCCCGTCCCTAACCGATTTGAGAGGGGGTGTTGAAGTTTATTTTGCCGACTGTCATGTACATATACGTGTATATATATATAAATATATATATATATAGAGAGANCAAATCAAATAAAAGAGTTCAAATGCGCCACAAAACTTGAGCTTCCAAAGTTTATTTTGAAATCATTTCGACTAGTTATAAACATAATGCTATTCATCGAAATAATTTTTTACAGCACTTAAAAATGCATTCGCCATGGGTGAAAAATGTGGTATTATTGATAACTAAATAGTACTTGCAATTATTCAAAATAATGCAAAGAAAAATATGCTTTTTACATATCTATCAATTTTAATTATTAAAATGGTAACAAAATATTAAAGAAAAAAAACTATTTTTGAATAAACTGAAACTTATTCAATTAAAATAAGTTTTCAGTAATATTAAGCAATAATTATTTGTGGAAATAATTTTAAAAAATAAAGTTGTAAATTTAAATGTTTTTCAATGCAACTTTGAAATATTTTTTACTTTATATTTAAATATTTTTTGAAAAATCACTTGGTAGTTAAAATATATCTTTCGTTTCATTTAAACGTTGTTACCGTAAGCTAATTACAGCAACTGTTTGAAGATGAGAAAGTAAGTCATAATCAGCAAATACAGACTTCTATAAGATATTGATGCAAAACAAAATTTATTCAAAAGTAAATTGACCTTTCATTTTTAAAAAATAAGAAAAAAAATGTAGAAAAACATTGAAAATAATTGCCATTTAAATTATAAATGAAGAAATTCATGTAAAAATGATAAAAATTTAAGATATTAGTAAAATTATGTTGTAATATATTAGCTACATAAATTTACTTTGATGTTGTTTTAAAAGCAAAAAATATTCTGCCAACTTATCAAGCTTAATATTGTCAATATCTTTTTCTGCTTTGAGTAAAAGCAGTGAATTTAGGCGTTCAGTGGTCATTGTTGTTCGAAGATAGTTTTTAATTCATCTTGCTGAAAATTCTTTCATTTGTCGAAACTGTCATTGGTGCAGTTAACGCTAATAGATTTAACAATAAAAACTTAATAATTACAAAATTATTAAGTTTTTTTTACTAATAATTAACTTAAATGAAAAACTGTTAACTTTAGTCAAAAAGATAATATAGAAACATTAAATAATTAAATACATAAGAAATATGTCAACCCCGCTCAAAGGAATACCATCGGTTCCAGCCGAATCTATCAATTAAGCGGGTTATTCGATCAAAAGGGGAGTGCAATATTCAATCCAAAATTCTGAATTTTTACGAAATTTTACTTTTTAATGGTATTTAATGCATAGTATAGCATTTTGATTAAATAAGCTCAGTTTTATGATCAATAAACAATTATAATTAAAACTGTATGCATTAGTATCATAAAATAAAAATGTCATTTAAAATTACATAAAAATAAATCAATATTAGTAAAAACTATAATGTAGGTACTAAAATATTAATTGATCCCTTCCAAATAAATCTATAATTGAAGACTATTTTTTATACCCGTTGAATTCATCAAAATTAGATATTCCCTTTTAGTTTCTACTAAAAATTTCATGACTTGCGTGTATTCCTTTCAAACGCATTCAGAATTTTTTTTACTTATTTTTTTTTTTTTTTTAATCTTCGAAACTTGAGTAATTTTAATTAATGCTCTATTTAAATTAATGCGCTATTTTAGTTAAGGGTTTTCTGAAATTTATTACTTCTAAGATTCATTGTTTTGCTTTTTTCCGATTAATTTAAATCATTCCTTTTCGCTCTCAACTTGCACCCAACTCAAAGTCATTAACTGGGTTAAGCAATTATTCTATTTAAGAGAAAGACTCTCTGTACACTAGTGTGTTAGGTTTTTGAAACTTTTTCTTATCAAAGTTAATAGTGCATCAACAGGGGATCACAAGACAAATCACTCTATCCCTTTTTTACATTCTAAATGATGTGTGTGTGAGGTAAGTCAAAGAGGGGTAAAAACCCCTTCGTTTACTTAAATGTATAAAACTGGCTGCAAGATTTGATTAATTTTTCAACTTTACCCCCAAACACCTACTGATGAATAAGAAATTCCTATTGAAGTGACCACATATTGTATCTTTATCTTAACTGAAAAAGGGAAATTCCATTTTAGCTGGGGAAACATTTTTCAAAAATAAACAATATTTTTTTCATTTCAGTACCACTTCTTTATGCAATTAGGCGGGGGCAAAAAACAACAAATAACCGTTTAAACGGGGTTAAAACAAGTTTAACATTAGTTTCTTCCAAAATGATTTGGTTCCATCAAATTTTATTTGTATAAGCGGGTAATTCGATTCTGCGATTAAGTGACGACAGTACAAAATAACTAAAAAGAATTATTTATCAAAAAAAAATTTGAATTTTCTATTTTTAAACACGTTACATTTTCAATAAAATTAGCATTAGTGCATTTTTCTTCATAAAGAATTGCAGTTTGGTCTTATAAAAACAAAGCCTACGAAGAAATATAGAATTTTAAATTTGAATTAAATAAGATCTATGAAAAATAATTTCAGCTGAAAAAATCTAAAAAAGAAAAAAAAAATACTATTTCAAGCACAAAATAAAAGCTTAGTAAAAAGTAAAAAACGGAAAAAGAATCCAATTTTCAGAATTCAAATGTGATTTATCTTTTTCTATCCCTAGCTCCTACTAATGAATATAAATAACATAGCATTTTTAATTGCTCTTTTTTCTTTCTTTTAATTATTTTACTGCACAAAAAAGATTAAAAAAATAATTTTATCTGCTTCATAAAAATCAATTTTTACCCGAAATAATTTAATTGGAAAGTAATAACACATTTAATGCAATTTAATTAAACTTAATATTTAAACAATAAGACTGCAAATAATAAATATGTATTCATAAAAAAATTATACTTACATTCAAAATTTAGACTGCGGTAGATAGGATGATCGTTGGCATGTGAGCAGATTTTCTATTTTATTCAATAATAATATGAATTTATAAAATACGCTTAGAGTAACTAAGTATCC